TTAGATAAAAAAGAGAAAGTAGGCCTGAGGGGAGGGAGAGGTTTACATTCTGGGAACAACGGGAAGCACCCCTTTGTAGAAGTGGATCTCAAAGTCAGAGTGAAACCAGTAATAAAGTCACTGTGATGCTGAGCCCTGAAATCCTTTCTTTCTCTATAAATTTGTATCAGTTCTGGACCTGCGTGTGGAGGGACTGAGAGTGTGAATGAGAAAGTGGTTTGAGAATCAGGGAATCAGGGAGATTGTTGTATTTGATGACTTGATTAAAAAGAAAAAACAAAGATAAAAACTTGAGTGCTATAACTATAAAGCCATCACATTTAATAGGATTTTGTCTACAATTGTCACCAGCGACTTGCAGTTTTTATAACAACTTCGACGCATCTTGCCCAGAAATCCTGATCCTTCTCCCAGAACCTTCTACCACCTGTGGCTGTTTGTGGACCGCTGCCTCCCCGCCCCTCCTGCCTGGGCCCTCTCGAAGGATCTGGCAGTATGGATCGGATGCTAATTTGAGGAAAACAGCTGCAGAAAAATCAGTCACCCAGGAGGGGGTCCTGGGCGACAGCCCCAGACAGCCCCAAGCGCTGGGGAGGGAGAGTGCGGTGAGTGAGGGCTGAAGGGCCTCTGGGAGAGGCCAGTGGGGCCAGGGACCTTCCCAGCTTGTCCACCCTGCAGAGCAGGGAGAGGGACGGCATTTGGAAGTGGGTGCAACTGGCCCGGCCCGGCCCCAGAGGAGGTGGTGCAATTGCTCCCTCAGAATTTCCAGAACCCGTGAGGCAATCAATCCCCTGGGTCAGGCAGTGGAAGACGGGAAGTGAAATCTGGAGCCTTTCCCAACCAGGGACGGTGCCTCTGGGCACAGGGCTCCTTTCTGCTAGCCCTGCAACTTAGGACCCTAAGGCCCACTGTGCCCCGAGGCCCAGGCCGCACTACCAGGAGCAAATCGGTCACCCACAAAGGGGAAAATGCAGCCATGGGTCTTGAGCGCACAGGACGGGCCTCAAGGGACCAGAAAAGGCTTCTCTGAGGAAGTGCCACTGAGATGAAAGCAGGAGGGGGAGAAGGCCCCACGGCATGAGGGAGCCCAGCCCATCCAGGGGCCCAGTGAGGCCATTGTGGCCACAGCAGAGACAAGGGGCAGAGCAGAAGAGGCAGGTGGGGCACCCTGGGACTGTGCGACGGCCTTGACCCTGAGAGTAGTGGGAAGCAGAGGACAAACAGGGAGAGGGTGCAGGTGGGGGAGGGAGAGCAGCCAGGACTCTTCAAGACAGACGCACAGTGGCTGAGGTGAGGCAGAGACATGCAGGGACCGGAGATGCCTGCGCACACGCGGGTAAGGCCCCGGCTACACAAGTCAGCCCTGCGTGGGGCTGCACAGCCAGTGAGGCAGGTTAGCTACAGCAGTTTAAACATAGATAAGTTTCTTGCAGACAGGCCTAAATTAAAACAGGGTAATCGTTCAGATGTCTTTCCTATCAGTACCCAACTTTCACCCAACCCACCAGGCACATCAGACCCGGCCACCCTGAGGGCTGGAATATGGATATACCAGTGCAGAAAACCACAGAAATGATAGGGAGTTAACCCGAACATAGATATGAGGGTTTAAGAAAAGCCCACAGCCGGGCTCAGTGGCTCAGCCTGAATCCCGCACTTTGGAGGCTGAGGTGAGTGGACGGCCTAAGCCCACGGGTTCGAGACCTGCTGGGGCAACTTGGCGAGACCTCATCTCTACAATAAAATTTAAAAATCAGTGCGTGTCTGTAATTCCGGCTACTCGGAAGGCTGAGGCAGAAGGATCACCAGAGCCCAGCAGGTCAAGGCTGCGGTGGCCAGGAGCGGCCACTGCACTCCAGTCTGGGCGACAGAGTGAGACTCCAACTCAAAAAAAAAAAGAAAAGCCCACGTCTAGTTAGGCAACAACTTTCATTATTTAGTTAGGCACTGCCAGGAAGGACAAGAGCACATGAAAAGGCACAGGGGTTTGAGGAAGCCCATGAATAGCAAGTTGTTCAAAGACATCTTGAGGACCCATAACGCACCAGGTTCTGTGCCAGGGGTTGGAGAGATAGCAGTAAACGAGACAGACAGGGTCCCTGCTCTTTATAGAGTTTATGGCCTGGGCAGGAGGGGTGGGGAGGATGCAGTCCATTAACAGCCACAAATGGTGGAAGGTGCTAGGGAGAAAGATAGCAGGATGGTGGAACAGTGTGACCTTAGAAGGTTGAGAGATGGTCATCAAAATTTGTGACCAGACATCAGCAGCCCACCCCTCTTAGTTCAAGGTTTGCCTAATCACTGTCGTAAAATTATATAAAGCTTCTTGTCAAAGGCAAGCACATGCCCTCGCTTAAGGCACCCACGCCTTGCTCGGGCGTGTCCTTCTTTCTAATAAATTCTGTCTTAATCCACACTTGGGACTTGCACTGAAATTCTTTTCTGTGGCAGAGTCAAAAGAACCCGCAGAGCAACATACCACACCCCACCAGGCATCACCAGCATGGGCCTCCTGGGCCAGCTGCCCATAGGTCCACATGTGGATCCTGTGACAGGGCCAACCAGCTGGGCAGGAACAGTCAGGCTGTGACAGTGGGGCCGAGGGGCAGTGGCACAGCAGGTACTCACTCTGGGCCTGCCCCACAGCAGCGGCCTTCTTGGCACCGGCATGCTGAATGAGCACGTTGTCCTTGTCGTAGGCGCCACCATCCTGGCCCACCTCCACCACCTGCACCTGGGGCAATGCCGTGTTCCACTTTACCACGTACTTGGGCCCCAGGGGCACCAGGCTGCTGATCTCCAACTGGCCCCTGGCAGGACAGAGAAGACGAGGTCCTGGAGAGCCCATGGCCACCCCACCCCAGGGTTGGCCCAGGGCACCATTCCCAGCACACCAGTGCAGCCAGGCTCCAAGCAGCCCAAGCAAAGATCTCAGGCCAAGACCAAGCCGGGCAGAGCAGGGAGCCCTCGCTGGGCCAGTAGCACCAGGTACCCCAGCCCCAGGTCCAGAATCACATGCCCCAAGTCCAAGCCCAACACCTACCTGTGGTTGGCAGGCCTAGGAAAGAGACAAGGAGAGGAAGGCCATTACTGTGACGGAGTAATTTTATGAGAGCTAAGGCCCTCTGTGGGCCAGCCATGGGGCTGGGAGCCAGGCATGGAAGGAGGGACAGCCTTCAGGCCCATGTGGACAGAGGGGAGCACACGGAGGGGGGTCCTCCCCCTAGGCTGGGCCCTCGGTCACCTCTGCTTCTCCCAACAGCCCCGCCAGGAACTTTGTATGGCAGACAGGGATGCTGACACCCAAATCATCCAAATGGATCCCCCAAAACTGGGCCACGAGTACCCCACTTTGCACCCCATGCTAGACCCTGAGCAGCATAAAGACAAAGAGGGTGTCTGTCATATCACTGGCATAGCATGGTACCCAGGACACAAACAGGACTTAAGATTTATAGTAGCTGAATGAGTGAGGACAAGAATGAATGAACAGGTCAGCCGCAGGCACTGCCCGCTGTCCTCTGTAACAGAGATTTCTTTGCCGAGGTCCCCACCAGGCTGCTGGAGTCACCTGTGAGGCACCAAGTCAGGGTTTGGTGTACACCTGATGGATGATAGACAGGTGGGTGGGTGGATGGTGCGTGAGGGTCCCAAGACAGCCCTGCTTGTCCCCTTCCAGGACACGCAGTCCATCACCACGTGGCCATGTACAGGAACGCACAATTTGGACTCTGAGTGCTGAATCCAAATCGGACTCCATAGGTGCCCCTCCCCGAGACACTCCGGCTGGACGGTGGGAGAGCCCGGCTGGGATCAACACTGGGAGTAACTATGGATCTTGACTATTCCCCCTGGATCTTGGCTATTCTGCCATACTGTTGTTTGCGTAATGATTTTTAAAGTATCCAGTACTGAGAGTAGGGATTCCCCCAAGAGCCCAGCTAGAAAGGCCACTGCTGGAGTTCTCAGGGAGCATGTGTTGGAGGGTCCCAATCCCTGACACCCACATGGCAGTAGGGGATGTATGGGGGTGGGGTGGGCAGGTGGGGCGGCTGAAGAACCACCAGCCCTGGCTCCAGGCCTCAGGGCCTTGGGCAACGTGACCCGGGATGTCGCATCTCCCAAATGCCTCAACCTGGGTGTGAACACCCTGTGTGAGGCAAGCATAAGATGTCCAGAAGGCCCACAGACCTGGGTGTGAACTCCCTGTGGGAGGCAAGAGTAAGATGCCCAGAAGCCTCATGGACCTGGGTGTGTGAACTCCTGTGTGAGTCAAGTGTAAGAGGCCCAAAAGCCTCACAGACCTGAGTGTAAACTCTCTGTGGGGCTGGTATACACAGCCACCAGCCGCAGACTCCAGCCTACAGACCCACCCTCACTGTCACCCCGCTCCAGGGTTCCAGCTCTCAGGCACAGCCTGGCGGCTGGGCTCTGGGCATTTCTGCAACTTCTGGCCCCGAACCAGGAAAGCAGGCTCCTGTGGGCAGAAGACGCCCTGGACGGTGGGAAAAAGGCAAAGCCTCACGTGGAGAAACACTGCGATTTGGCCAGAGGAAAACCAATTTGAATTGAAGCAGCAAGGATTTGGGTTGGGCACAAGAAAGACCCTCTTGAGTCCCAACGTGGTCAAAACCACTGTTCAGTTACCAACTGCAAAGTTCCGGAACAGACAGCTCTGTGCAAAAGCCAGTTGTGTGCCCGAGGCTGGGGACTGCCCCCATGACCTCGCCGGGTACTTTGCAGTGCTGGGGGCCAGTGACAGAGCAGGCCAAGGGGAATGGGAGAGGAAGGAGGCACATTGGAGGCCTAAACTGAGCCCTGACGGGGCTGCTGCAGAGTGGCCGGCTGAGAGACTGGGCGTGACAGGATGGGGTCTCCAGGGAGGGGTACTGCCCACCCCCCGCCCCGCCAACCCGGCCTGACCGGGGCCCACTTACTTGAAGTTGATGTTGGCGCAGACCAGCATGTCGTTGAGCAGGAAGACTCTGCGCTCCTTGGACTTGATCAGCTGCCCGCGGTCACCATACACGGTCTCCGTCAGCGTCTCACACAGGAGCAGCTGCCTCTGGCCCGAGGCTAACAGCTGGGGAGGGGACAGGGAAGGTCAGCCACAGCATCACAGCCTGGGTGGCTTTACTGTGCCAGAAACTCAGACCTCTCCCACAGTGCAGAAAGAGAGACCAAGGGCACTGGACGCAGTGGCTCATGCCTGTAATTCCTGGATGGTGGGAGGCTAAGGCAGGAGAATTTCTTGAGCCCAGAAGTTCGAGACTGGCCTGGGCAATATAGCAAGATCTCATCTTTACAAAAAAAACAAAAAAATTAGCCAGGCATGGTGATGCGTGCCTGTAGTTCCAGCTACCAGCTACTCAGGAGGCTGAGGCAGGAGGATTGCCTGAGCCCAAGAAGTCAAAGCTGTGGTGATCATGCCACTGCACTCCAGCCTGGACAAGAGAGTGAAACCTTGACACAAAAAGAAAAAAAAAGAAAGGGAGATCAAGACCAGAAGAGGCAGAGAAGAAGGCAGAACCACTTCCTCCATCTGTGGATGACAAGATGCACTGAGGAGAAAGACCAGAAGCCCGTGCAGTGGGGTCTCCCCTTTGGGAGACCTTGCATAGCCTGACCGCTCACCCTTGCACCCACCAGGCCCAGTGGCTGGCAATCCCTTCTCAGGTGAGCCAGTCATCGCTAGCCCCACCCTATGAGCATCCTGCACAGCCACCACTGATAAGGACACAGCTCTGAGTCACAGAGACGAGTTCTGTCCCGGCTTCTGCTCTCCAGTTGTGAAGCCCTCAGGAGGCCACTTGACCTGTCCAAGCCTCAGTTTCCACACCTACCAAATGGGAGCAATGACATCTACTGCTCAGATCACACAAGGTAACAAACACATGACTGGATCTGGCTGCACAACTCTCGCCGCCCAGTGTAAAACGAAGGCGCGAGCCCTTGTTCAAAAGTTACTATGAATTTCAAGGCAGCCACAACAGAATGTTAAGGCAAATGTGGGACCCTTCTGAGCGGGTCATGTGTGGCCATACGTGTCACGGGCCTACAAGGCCAGGCCTGCATGTGACACGCAGTAGATACTCCATTGATAGCCGCTCTCTGTGAAGGCCTTCACTGGGGCGAGGCGTGGCCTGGTGCAGGAGACCTTGGCCTGGGAGTCAGTCCCATCGCTGCACCCTAACCTGCTGAAAGCCTTGGCCCGTCTCGCCTCTTTGACAGTCTGGGGACAGGGTTGAAACAGACTGGTAAGGCACTCTCTGAGCAGGTTCAAGCCCAAGACTTTCAAGTCCAAGACAGCCGGGCAGGCATTTGCCAAGCTCAGGCTGGACACCAAGACCCACCCCCCCGCACCCACTAGTGCTGGGACAACCAACCCATCCAGGGACCCCTTGGAACCATCTTTTTTCCTAACATGGATTTCTTGGGGAAGAGGGAGGGCAGTCAGCAAAATTCTATCCCAAAACCCGTGACTCTGGTGACAATCATTTTCTCTCCTTTCTTCCCCAAACTGACTGGGAAAGGATAGATCACCCCAAAGCCTCCTTGACGTACATGCTCTGTTGTTCTTTAAAGAATCATCTCTCTTGGCTGGATGCAGTGACTCATGCCTGTAATCTCAGCACTTTGAGAGGCCGAGGTGAGAGGATTGCCTGAGCCCAGTTCGAGACCAGCCTAGGAAACTTGGTAAAATCTCATCTCTACTATAAATCAAGAAAAATTAGCTGGGCATAGAGGCGCACACCTGTGGTTCCAGCTACTTGGAAGGCTGAGGCAGAAGGATCACCTGAGCCCAGCAAGTCGAGGCTGTGGTGGCTGTGAACGTGCCACTGCTCTCCTGCCTGGGCAACAGAGTGAGACTCTAACTCAAAAAACAAAACAAAAAAAGAATCACCTCTCTCAAGTCTACGCAGAACCAGAAACCCAAATGGGATCGAACGCCCCCTGCATACGGGTACTCAATTCCACATCTCACAGCAGGCCCGTGAAGCTCATCTTCCAAATGAGGAAACTGAGATTCCAGGGCAAAGCAACTTGCCGAGATCCCGCCCTTGCAGAATGACGGACATATATGTGTGGAGACAGACCATGTCCGCTGTCCCCTGCACTGTGCAGGAGCGCGCGACGTGACAGGAGCCAGAGGAGGCCCCACTGCTCCTAACACATAGGAGGACCCTCAGGAACCACCACAGCTGCTAAGGCCGAGCTCCCCACAACTGTTTCCACATGCAAGCTGGTCGTCAGCGCGTGAAAACATTCCTCAGACTCTGAGGACAGCGGGGCCCCACAGAGGGCAGCCAAGTATGCCATGACCCAAAACTAAGTAGAGGAAAGTCCCCTGGGTCCTGGTAATCATCCCCTGCCCCTTAGCAGACGAACGAAAGAAAACGAAGACCCGGAGATTGCACAAGCATCCCCCAAGGCTCCTGAGTAGGCGATTCTGAAATACTGGCATGGTTCCGTTTCGGGCTCCACCCAGTTTCATTTCTGCTTCTCCCTGGGTGACGGCAAAAGGGACATCACTGAACAGGCCACAAAGCTGGCTGGGACTGTCCAGGGGGCCTCCTGGTGTTGGGGGGAAGCACAGATGCGGTCCCCACTTGTCCAACTCACCCTCACTGGATAGATGGAGAAACTGAGGCTCAGAGCATCTAGTCCCTTATGCCACATCAAACGGGTCTCCCTGACTCCAGCCAGAGCCCACTGCACTCTGCGGCCCGGGTTCCCACAGGGACAGAGAGGAAGAGAACAGGGCACTTGCCCCAGAGCACTGCCACAAGACTTATTTCCTTTCCTGAGCGGTCTCTCTGCACTGAGGCCCCACGGGTGTACGAGACAAAGGCTCTGGGTCACAGAAAAGAGAGGCAGAGACACAAGAGAAACTTCCCATGTGCAAACTCCAGCATAGGTGGCCTTGGTCAGACTGGAGGCTTTTCTCCTGAGACATTCTAAACCAGAAGGCGTGTCTGGGATGGCTGGGGACAGGGGGGCAGGGAATGACCCCATGCCTCGTGCCTACCCTGAGGGGTCCTGGAAGGAGCCACCCCCAGGAGAGGGCATCCCCTGTCTGTCTGCTGTCTTTCCTAGCCCCATCCCCATGCAGCAGACGAGGCACACTCGGACACCTTGGGGCCAGAAGGTCACATCAATGAAAGCGGTAGTGTGTAGGGTGGAGGGGAAGGGGCAGCCAGTGCCATGTGGGAGGGTGGCCAGTCCACCAGTTCTCCTCTCCAACCCTTCCAGGAGACCCGCAGGTATGATTTGCATGGGCCATCTCCCAATTTAATTTATCTTTTGAGTCAGGGTCTCACTCTGTCACCCAGGCTAAAGTGCAGTGGCATTATCACAGCTCACCGCAGCCTTGACCTCCTGGGCTCAGATGATCCTTCCGCCTCAGCCTCCTGAGTGGCTGGTTCTACAGGCATGTGCCACCACGTCCAGCTGATGTTTTGATTTTTTGTAGAGACAAGGTCTTGCTATGTTTCCCAGGCTGGCCTCAAATTCCTGACCTCAAGCAATCCTCCTGCCTCGGCCTCCCAAAGTGCTGGGATTACAGGCGTGAGTCTCCACATCCTGCCTCCAATTTTTTTTTTTTTTTTGAGTTGGAGTCCCACTCTGTCATCTAGGCTGGAGTGCAGTGGCATGCTCACAGTCACCACAGTCTCAACCTGCTGGGCTCAGGTGATCCTTCTGTCTCAACCTTCCAAGTAGCTAGAACCACTGGCAAGGGTCACCATGCCCAGCTAACTTTTTTTATTTATTGTAAAGATGTCTCACCAAGTTGCCCAGGTTGGTCTTGAACCCTTGGACTCAGGCAATTCTCTCACCTCCACCTCCCAAAGTGCTGGGATTACAGGCGTGAGCCACAGCACCTGGCTAAGCCTCTAATTTTTAAATGTTGGCAACTACTGCTGCGTTCTTAAAGATGCTGCAGCCTGAGCTTGGCCTGAAGCAGGAGAGTCCTGAGATGTGACACACAGCACTGCAGGGGACCCTACAGGTGACCTCGTCCCAGCCCGCTTCTCAGGCCTGTCATGAAGATGAGTAACGCAGGTTAGAGAGCACTCTATACTGTAAAATGCAGTGCATATGGGAAGGGCTACCATCCCTCCTGACAATCCTTCCTGGACTATTAGAAAGTTCCAGCCAGGTGCAGTGGCTCACACCTGTAATCCCAGCATTTAGGGAGGCTGAGGTGGGAGTATCGTTTGAGCCCAGGAGTTTGAAACCAGCCTGGGCAACAGAGACCTCATGTATACAAAAAAATTTAAAAATTAACCAGGCATGGTGGTACGCACCTATAGTCTCGGCTACTCAGGAGGCTGATGCAGGATCGTTTGAGCCTAGGAGGTTGAGGCCACGGTAAGCCCCGATAGTGCCAGTGCACTCCAACCTGGACAACAGAGTGAGACCCCTGACTCAAAAGAAAAAAAAAAAGAGTCCCTTCCCATGTGGCTGAAATCTCCTTCCCAGGAGGCCGCCAGCCACTAACTTTAGTTCTGTTTTCAGGACCCCAAGAGCCAAGAAACTCCCAGTTTTCCCCCAGAAGATCTGGACCTATGACCCCCCTACACAGGGCGTCCCTTCTCCAAAGAGCAGTCCTGCAACATGCTAGGGTAGGGTAACCCCACCCAGAACCATCCTTCCCACCTCACCCTCCAGTGGGTCAGGGATCCAGGTGTGGCTATGGGCAACTCACATCGTCACATGCTGCCAGGGAGGCAGGGGGACTCCAGTGACCACAGGTGACACAATGAGGTCACCTTGCCCTTTCAAAATAGGATTCTCTGCGGAGTCATTTGCAAGTCTTTCAAGATTTTCTTACCAGGATGCTCCTAAATTGCAGCCCCAAAACACATCATGGACTTCTCATCTCCTATTGACAGCTCTTGGGAAGCTGCTTAACCAACCCCCTCATTCGCCTCGCAGCAGCCCAGGGGATCAGATGCTATCAAACTCTCCTCTTTTCAGAGGGAGCAAGTGAGGTTCAGAGAGGTTGGGTGATTCCCCTGAGGCCACAGGGTAAGCACCTGTGGCAAAATCTAGATTTAAGCGCAGACTTCAGAGAGAACTTGTTTCACCACAATACCAGTCTCTCGTTTCTGATGTCTTTACTGGAAATGGCGCAGATGCGCAAAATCAGCTTTTATCCTAAAATAGCATGAACAGTACTGAGTGCGGGGCTCAGTCGAGAATCCGATCCTCAAGGTCAAGGCCTAGAAAAGCAAGCCCCCTCCCACCTCAGAGAACACTGCCACCTAGTGGGTGGCCGCAGAGCAGGACCATGGGCGACAGGTGCAGGCGAACCGGCTCACCTTGTTGAGGCTGCTGCGGTCGCTGACGCTCTTGGTCAGCTGCTGTATCTCCGCCACCTGGTCAGCCAGCCGCTTCTGCTCATTCAGCTTCTCTGCCAGTGTCTCCAGCTCCGTGAGGGCCAGCTGGAGCGACAGCCTGTCAGGGTGGCCCCGGGGCGTGTTCTTCAGCATGTCCTGTGGTGCCCAGAGAGCCAGACTGAGAAGCCCACCCACGCAGAGCCTCCTGGGCTGGGGCAGAGCCTCGCCCTACAACCTCCTAGAGACCAGGTCTGAGAAGGGCTGGCTTGCGGCCCGGGGCAGACGGTCCCAGGTGTAGAACAAGGCCCTGAGAAGCAGGACCCTGAGAAGCAGCTCGTGAATGGAAAAATTAAAACCAATGCCTGGATCCGTCTGAGACTATGCCACAGAGGACAGAAAGCAGGGTCTCAAAGAGATGCACATCCACCCGTGTCCACAGCAGCCAAAATGTGGAGGCAAGAGGCACATCGACTGGTGAACGAGTAAGCAACACAGTGGAGACTCCTCAGCCTTAAAAGGGAAGGGAAGGAATTCTGACATGTGCCACAACATGGATGAACCTGAGGACACTGTGCTAAGTGAGATTAGCCAGTCACGGAAAGACAAATACTGTATGATTCTACTCAGATGGTTCCCAGAGCAGTCACATACATAGCGACCGAAAGCACAGTGGTGGGTGCCGGGGGTTGGAGGGGTGTTCAGTGAGACAGAGTTTCAGTTTGGGAGGATGAAAAAGTTCTGGCTGGGACAGTGGTGATGGTGAAACACAACATGATGCACTCGTGCCACTGAGCCTCACACTTAAAAATGGCTAAGATGGCAATAAATAAATGATGGCTCAGGCACCGATGTGTTGATAAACAGCATGCTTACATTACAGCCCACACCCACAGCCTGGCTCTGGGGAAAATGCTGCAGGCCCCCAGTAGGGTAGCCACCCTCTCGGTTCTTTCCAGAGGGACGCCCGGTCTGAGGACCCTCTGCAGTTGGAGAAGTACCCCACGCTCCAAGGCCCGGTGGGAACTAGCAAGCCCATAGGCATCCTCGAGCTATTCTGAGGCTGATGTCTGAACTGGCCAAGGGACGCGTTCACTCATCGTCTCCATGCCAGGTGCCCAGCAGGTCCTGGAACTCCCTCCCAGCAGCCTGGGCTCACTCCACCCCCAGGTCCACCCCCATGTCTTCGTCCCCTTCCCGGAGCCCAGACTCACTCACCACCAGCCACCTGGCCCTCTCCCCAGGGGAGGAACAAAGCAAGCTGTGCATTACAGGGGGTCCCATTCTAGGCGTGGAGGAAGATGAGGCCCAGTCCCATGGCAGAAGGGCGGGTCATGGGCCACTGTCGAGACCCGGGTCTCCTGTCTCCCCTGTCAGGAGCTCCCCAGCCCTCGCCACAGTCTGCGGGTCGGGGATGCTGGAGCCTGGTGGGTACCTGAAGCAGAAGGATGAACTGCGGGAACCTCTGGATGGGCTTCACCATTAGCCCGTAGAGGGTGACACGGTCCGGGCTGCACACCTGCCGTCGCTGTTGGAGACAAAGGCCCATCGTTCGCTGACCCTCAGGAGAGAGGGCCCGGCACCCTGTTCAGTCTCAGGGCCTTCAAGAAGAGCCGAGGGAGGTCCCCGGTTCTGCGATCGGGGATCCCTCCCTCCACCCACACCCCTGCACTGCCCCTCACTCTCAGGAGACTAAGGTGGTTATCTTAAAGTCCCTGAACTAAAGGCACAGCTGGAAAATTCAGCCATTTATCAAGCGGTCAGACTTTGGGAAGTAGCCAAGACAACCATGCCCTTCACTTAAACTAAACACGGGCAGGGCCAGGTGAGGGGCGAGCACAGAAGGACGTACTATCCTGGGTCTCACATCTGTCCTCTCTCCAGCCACACGCCAGTTCCCTGGTCCTGATCCCCAAGCCCTGCAGCCCCAGAGCGTCTGCTCCGGCCTCCACTTCTGCCTGCCCAGTTCAAAAGTCTTCAATGGCTCCCCAGTGCCTGAAGTACGACATCCTAACCACTAGGCCTGGAAGTCCAGGACCACCCAAACTGAACTCAGCTGCCTATCGCCTTCTCTCCTGGGACCCCCACGGGCATCAGTGTCCCACAGTCCAACCAGACCTGCTGTCTGTCCCCATCTTCCTGCCTCTGACTCCGCACCACCATTCCAATCCCACGGTCTGGTTCCCTGCCAGGGCCCAAGTCAGAAGGTGCCCCTTGAGAGAGCCCCTCCCGACCTCGTGTCCTCTTCAGTGGGGGCAGCGGGCTCCTCTGCTGAGCCCTCACCCCACCTACGCTGCCTGTGTGGCTCCCAGCACCTAGCCCACCTGCATCCTCTGCCAGATGGCAGGCTCCCTCTGGGCAGAGGCTCTGTCCAACTCACCCAACAGTGCTCCCAAAGAAGTCGGGAGCCTGGCCACAGCTACCCGAGGACTCTGAAGCTTTGCAAAGTCCTTTAACCTCTATTCTCTCATGTGGAAAGACCCAGCATGGCCGGGTTTACCCACAGACCCACTGCACATGTAGGCACAGGAGGCCAGGGGCTGGTGAGATGACACCGGTCTCCCCTCCACCCTGTCGCAGCTCCAGGACCTGAAGCTGCCACAGACCCTTTAACTCTCTAGACCCTTCCTTCTGGGGGGGTGGGAGGAAATGATTTTCTTCCCATGGGACTGGGGGTGCCCCGAAGAAAAGAGGGAGGGTGTCTGGGCCAAAGTCATGATGTAATGCCCAGCGCTGGGGCCTGAGCAACCTTCTGCCCCTGCCTCAGCCCACACCCTGGTGAAGGGGGCCCTGGACGCCCGAGGCCCACCTTGAGGAACTCAAGGAACGCCGGCTTGGTGAGACAGGCCTTCTTGATGATGGACATGGCGTTAGTGAAGTTGTTCACATAGTCGCTGTACACATCTAGCACCATGGACTTGGAGAACTGCAAAGAGGTAGGTGAGGGCCAGGAGGGTCGTCAACCCAGGGGAATGGGGGTGGCCAGCATTCACCCGACGCTCACTTGGGACCACGAGGGGTGCTGACGGCATGGCCTGGACAACCTCAGCAAGCCTTTGAAGGGAGCAAACCCATCACTCCTACTGAGGTGAGGACACTGGGCTCAGAGCGGTAGAGAGGCTGGTCCAGGGTCACAGGCAGGACCAGGTGGTGCTACGAGAGAGCCACAGGTACAGGAAGGAGCAGGGTGGGCGAGGGAGGGTGGGGTGCTGCTTCTGCTCCATTCATGTCCAGGAAATAAAACACCCCTCGTCCTCCACCCTCAAGGACGGCGCTCTGGGTTCGTGCTGGGCAGCATGCCCGGAGGTTAGTTGCAGCAGGTGGGGATGGTACCTGGAACCAAGCAACCCCCTTGCCAGAGCCCTCTGACAGCCTGACCTGGATGTAGGAGCTATTTCATGGATCCGCTGAGCTCTGTGGTTTTTTTTAAGTATTTTTTTTCTTTTAGCAGAACCCAGTTACCAGTTACCGAAAACAGATCGAAGTGGAGTTCCATCCACGTGACCTTCTCCCACCCCATGGATCTCTGGGACCCACAGACTTCAGCTGGAAAAGCCAGGAAACCAGGGGCCCCCCTCATTCCACAGATGGGGAACCCAAGCCCAGAGTGGGCCCTGGACCTGCCTGAGGTCACAGACCTGAGCCAGGAGCAGAGACAGGCCTCCCAGATCGTGACTGAGGGATCCTTCCCCAGCAGCCTCTCGGGGCCAAGGTCATGGTCTGTGCAAGCTCTCTCCACAGTGCTCAGTCATGCTTTGGGTGGTTGGGTTACAGAGCTTAGGCCCTGCCACATGGCTGCCCACAGGAGCTGGGAAGCCAGCAAGCCTCCCGGAGGTGCTGCCACCTGGGCAGAGTTCACACAGGGACCTACATCTCCAAACATACCCTGGGCATGTCAGGTGTCATGCCCTGCCCTAGCTCAGGCTGGGAAGACTGGGACCCTGCCGCCCTCTGACCCCACTGGCATGGATGAGGTGACCAGGCTGAGGCAGGAGGCTGCCAGGTTGGTTGTCACCTTGGGCTTGGGGACACCTACCGAGGCCACAAAGAGATCCCCGATCTTCTCGGTGGAGTCCCATTCGGCCACGCGGGAGGACAGGGCAATCTGGAACATGGAGTGGCAATGCAGAATCTCCTTCACGCGGAAGAACACCACCTGGCACTTGCGGACGCTTAGCGCCTTGGGCTCCATCTCCATCAGGGGGTTGCGGTAATCCTGCCAAGGCAGTGGGGTGAGGCCCAAGGCCAAGCCATGGAATCCCCCTGCCAGCCTTCCCGCAGAACTCAGCCGGCCACGGCAGGCCCTCCTGTCAGGGAGCACCCGTCCCACACTCCTTATGTATCCTTCTGGAAGGATCTCCATGGACGTCACACTCCTGCCTCTCTTTGGCCGCCCACGACCCCATGACTTCTGTGCTAATTTGGGTTGGGAGGGAGAGGGAAATCCTCAGGGAGGCCACCCTGAGGACAAAGTGGGCCCCGTCTGACTCAGCCTGTCACTGTGCCCGTTTGTCTAAGCAGTGGGGTCACCATGAGCTCCCTCGGAGCCCAGACCCAGCGTCATACTCTAGTCAGTTTTGTCAGAAACGGGTGACATTGTCATCTCTACCTGCCTGACAGCTGGGCTCTCTCTCTCCGTGGGTCCAGACTCGGGCGGGGAAGAGAGGGTGTCATTGGCACCTCCCGCCCACACCCCGACAATTTCTTCCCATGGTGGCTTCAATCTGATAGCCCACAGCATCCCAGAAGAGTCACTGTTGCAGGGGCTCAAGCCACAGTCCAGGCTGGCCCTCCTAGCCACATCCCACAAGCATCTGCTTAGCTACCCCTGGGCCTCCTGATGTGAGAAAGAGGGTGCAGTCCTACCCACCCCCACCTCGAGGAGCCCCAGGACGATGGGGAGACCTGGCCCTGGTCCCAGGGGTTCCCAGAGTAGCACAGAAGACATGGTCCTTCCAGGCACAGATGGGACCCCATGCCCTCGATCCCCCAGGACTACCCTAATTTCAAAGAATCCCAATTTTGCTCCAGAAAACAGAATCCTGGCACTCCCAGGAATTACGATGTCCCCATCTGAAGACCCTGCTGGTCCCATAAAACGGTGCTAGCTTATGGCCCCTTCTTCCCCTCAAAACTGCCCACAGTCCCCAAACACTCCTTGTAAAGTGTCTCCCAGGGTCCTCCCTCCCCGCTCCCTGGGACCCCCAGGGCCCCTGCCCCCGCACCTGGAGTATCCGCTTCAGAGACTCCACATAGCTGCCTTCACTCTGCACGATGGAGCCCAGGATGTGCCTCCGGACCACCTGCCCGGGCCAAAAAGCACCATCAGCGCAGCCGACACCCACTGCCCAGGGCCAGCACCTGCTGTGTGCAGAGGCCCCAGCAACAGGAAAGGGGTCTGACAACCACAGGACAGAGGGCCCCGTCCCTCCCAGAGCCTTGGGGCCCCTGGGCCTGATGGGCCACTCTTGCTTCCCGAGCCCCTGCCGGGCTGCAGAGCAGAGGAGGGGGCACATCCCAGCACCGGCCCCTCTGCTCGCATACATCCAGGGATGGGGGATCATCACCTCGCCTCCATGACGGCTGGTGACCACCTCCATCCTTGGACAGCGCTCATAGAAAACTCCTTGGAATGAACTGAAACCTCAGCTCCCACTGCTTGCTGTGGGTGGACTCCCTGGGCAATTCCTCTTCCACAAGACAGTCCTTGGGGGGCCCCCACCCTACTGGCTCTGTTTCCCCAGTGCCTTCCCCTCTCGCTCGCCCCGTCCCGATCTTCCCTCAGCCTGAATCACAGCCCTGCGGAAGTGTGGCCCAGGGAGGGGACGCCAGCCCTCGCTGCAGCCTGACCAGCCCCCAGTCAAGCACGGTGGGACCCTGCCTCCCTCCCCTGGACACAGCAGAGTAGGGGATCCCAAACTCTGCCACACCCTGGAACCACATGGGGATCTTTAAAACACACTCTCACCGGCTCCCCCATCCCCACACATTCTGATGGAAGTGGTAGGGATGTGACCTGATGACCAGGGATTTCTAAATCTTTCCAAGTGACTCTATCGTGCAGCAAAGCTGGACAGTACTCACAAAAGATGTCACATGTGAGAGGGATTGGACGGGGGAGCCTGTCCGCCTTGATCCCGGGCTGGGAGGACGGTTGACCCCCCCACTCTGCCCTATGGCTGTCCTGAGAGGCCACCAGGCACCCACCACCCCCAGGACCCTCCCGCTTTGCCACCTCCCTCCTGCCTCTGGCAGACATTTCCCCTCTTTCCCCTCTCTTCCTACTGTCCTGCCTGGAGTGCAGGCCTAACCATGGCCTTCATAGCCCAGGAGCTGGGCAAGACCACTGTCCTACAAGTGTCCCACAACCAGCTGTGCTGTCAACAATCCCTGGGTGCCCAAGTGGCCCCAGAGCAGACCTCTGACCCTCAGCACATGGCCACTGGGGCTCGGGTCTCCTTGGGGTGGGGCTGTCCCATGCCCCATAGGGCCTCTGGCCTCCCCAGCCTCCACCACCAGATGCCAGTAGAAACCTGAGTTGTGACAATTGGCAACATCTCCAGATGCCGCCAGACATCTCCTGGGGGGGCAAAAACTGCATTGAGTTAAGAGCTATGGTCCTGAGTGATTGATACTGTCTGGCCCAGGAAACCCACAAGGCTGTAGGGGAGAGAGTCCGGTGCCCAGGAGGGGTGGGGGGCCCAGACTGTGGGCTGGAGGCCTGGGTCTCCACTGGGGCACAGCAGGGGCGTCACCAGCCCAAATGCCACTCAGGGTCAGGGTTGAGCAGGACCATGCATGAGGAATCCCCAGTCCTCCTCCTCCAAGTCACCGGGAGGGCGTCCCTTGAAGGGAGCTTTCCTGGGCGCTCAGGCTGGCTGCCACCAGTGGGAACCTGGGCTAGCATGGCTACATCTTCCTGATTTTCAAGGGACCAAACGGCAGGCCTTTCTGCCCACCAAAAGATGCGCAAATCCCACTGAGCTTATGGCCCTGACATGTCCCGCTCAGTCAGTGTCCTTGCAACAGAGGATCCAGGGATCTCGCCCCGTCTTGTGGCTGGCAAATCACAGACTGCAAGGGCAGAAAGCGTGACTGGGCCGAGATCCCAGGGCAAGACTGCCCAACCTCAGCGCCACACGCTGAGAGAAGGAAGGCATCCTTAGAGAGCCCGGCTCCCTCCTGGTGGGAGTCTGTGGCTGCTCTGAGGCTGGTGGGGACAGGTGGGCAGAGGATGGGGTTGGGCTCCTGCTCGCCTGCGGCCTGCCCTGAGTCAGGCAGCTCAGTGCCTCTCAGTCATCGGTCCTTTAAGCAACACCTGGCTCCAAAACAGCTAAAAGGAACTGCTCTGGATGTGGGGGGTTAGAGGGAGAAGGTACGCGCTCCCATGCTGGGATCCCACCCCAAAAACCAGCAGCACGGAATCTGGGGGTGCGAAGTGGAAAATCTGTGCACCCAACAAAGAGAGACCCCCAGGAGGCCCCTTCCCCCTGCCAGCTGGGGCCCTGCCAAGCACTCCCAACAGTCACTCGCCTGTCAAGACCCAGACCAGCATGGCCCCCTCCCCTGTAGGCCCCACCTAGCTGTTCTCCCACAGACCTGCTGAGGGCTCAGGCCATCCGGCATGGGGCCCAGCTCCGGGGCTGGGGGCTTGATGTCCGACACACTGACCTCCAGGAGCCCCATGTCCTCCTCCTCCGAGTCACCTGGAAAGTCAGACAGGCCGATGACACAGCCAAGGTGGGGGCAGCATGCCCTGCTCAGGTCCAAGGAGCTGAGAGCCCCCCTAGACCAGCCCTGGACACGGGGCCCGGGACACAAGCAGCTCCTGGGGCCGTGCGGGCTTAGGGCCGGCTCGCCAGCCCCTTCTTGCGCATTCCCTGCTGCACCCCAGGGTCTGGAACAGTCCATCAATAACTAAACGTGAGCAAGAGTGAGTGAGAGAGCAAGCGAGCCGGGAGAAACACAAGCAGCATCCTGCGGGGGCCTGGACGCTCGCAATCAGCGCTGCCAGAAGCCACTGTCCCTGCTGAGGCCCGCCCGCTCTGGCCCAGCGAAGGCCAGCCGCCCGTGTCCCCATCCCTAGGCACTAAAAATAGTTTTCTTCTGGAAGCCTAAAAGGGAGAAGAAAATAAGTCCCGGGAAGAACAGGGCAGATAAGCTTTATGCTTTCCTTTTTTTTTTTTTTTTTCCCCAAAAAAAAAAAGGCAGAGACCCAAGAAGGAAAAAGTTCAACCAGAGTCTGACAGGGAATCCTGGGCATGAGTGGGAGTGACCAGCCAGAGGACAGGACGAGACGGACCAAGGCCCAGGCCTCTGAGAGAAGGGGAGGTCAGGCAGTGAGGGTCATGCCCTGTGAGGGCTCTGGCCCCTGAGAGAGAGAGGCACAGGCGCGGGCAGATGGACCCCAGCCGCCTGGTGGCTCTGACGCCGGGCGGCAGCTGGCAGGAAGTGGGTGCTGCGGGGAAGCCGGGACAGAAAGGAGAAGTGACAGCGGCCCCAGGGGCAGAGAGAGTGGGGACACCCGTGCGGGCCCTTACCTGAGCAGGACACGGAGGAGGAGGAGGAGGAGGGACAGCGCACCACTGCCCGGGGCTGGGGGTGGCAAAGGCCCTCCTGCCTGGCCCACATGACGCCCTGGGCATCACTCCGCACCCACCCCAGCCGCCGGCCCCGCGGCTTCCTCTTCCCCCACGCGCCGCTGGGTAACATTCTTGGCCAGTGATTCGAGCCCGGCCACGGCTATTAATATCGCCTCTGGGGGAGGGTCACTTTAGGAAAGGCGCTGGGTTGATGGGCGGGGTGGGGTGACCCGGGAACGGCTCCCAGCCACGCTGTCCTTTCTCCAGACCATGCCTATAAGTTCAGAATGGCCACCCGGTCCGGTCCCTCCCTCAGCGGGGGCCAGCACCCCCCGAGAAGCAGAGTGAACATGAACATTTGGTGAGCTCCCAGCCTGTTTGGGGCACCGCACGCCCCACCAAGCACATAGAGTGATGGGACTGAACCCATTTTGCAGGTGAGGAGCCTGCTGCTCCAAGAAGTGCAAGGTGACACAGTCAGAAGGCACAGAGCCAGGATCTGACCAGGTCAGCGTGAGGCCACCCCAGCATCAAACACCTACTCCTAGTGCCTGACTGCCACCCAGAATAGCACCTGCCACACAGGGCTCTCCACAAACTACCTCGGGCATCCTCACCACGACCCCGGGAGATAGGTACCATCCCTAGCTCTACCATATGGATGAGGAAACTGAGGCAGAGAGGTCAAACTGCAGAACTTTCCGGAGGGCACGGGCTCTCCAAGCTCCCCCAGCTTGAAGCCTGTGTTCCTCCCGCTGCACCAGGTTGTATGCTGAAGACGAGTGTCAGGTATGCCCCAAGCAAAGACTCCTTTGTTCCCAGGAGGCTGGCACCCCTGGAACTCTGTCCGGAGATCATTAGCCCAATGTACTGGCATTTTGTATCTCCTTGTCTGCTGCCCCAAAGACGTGAACTGCACGAGGTAGGGGCTGAGATTCCCCCAGTGTCTGGGAACATGCCCTGGGCATTCTGCGAGGAAAGGAACCAGAGCCCTGGTGGGGACCAGGAGCAAAGGCAGGCACCTGAGCGGGGCTTCAGGGAAGTGGGGTCAAGACGTGCAATCGCAGCTGTGTCCCGAAGCTTTAGGACAGTTCCTAGCACATAGTAGATGCTTAATAAGACTCACTGAATGAATGAATAAGTGAATGATCAATGGATCAAATCTGACCATGAGATACTTCTGCCTAAAATCCTCTAATGACCTTCCAGTGTCCTTAAGACCAAGGGCAAATGCCCGGCAAGGCCCCCAGAGCCCGTGCTGACCAGGCCCTGGTCTCTCACCCTGCCATTCCCTCTGCCAGATGAGGCCTTCTCCACCCCTTCCATCGATTGTGTGTCCTCAGGCAAGTCACTGAACCCCTCGGTGCCCGATTCCTCATCTGCAGCACGGGGATGCTGAGTCCTCTGCACCTCGTGTGGTATTGATAAGAATTAAGTGAGGAACTGTAGGCTCCTAGGAAGGCGCCTGGCACACAAGAAGTCCATCAGGACAACCGGCTCTTGAACGTCTCACGCCACCCCACCTCCGGGCCTTTGCACATGCACTCTCTCTTCCCAGAGCACCTGCTCCCTCTGCCGGATGACGTGGGCCTCCTTCTCCTCCCCTGACCTTTCACCCCGAGTCCATCCCCACTTCCTCCACCCTCCTCCCAGGGCACCCCGTACCACTTGTCAATCTGCCCTGTCACTTGCCACTTCTGGGTCTGTCTCCTTGCACCGCGACAGGAAAAACCAGCCCCTGGAGGAAATGCTGAGGAATGCTTCTTGGCATCCCCGCACACGGCACCGGGTATGGCACTTAGCAGGTGTTTGGCAAACAGGGGCTGGCTGGGGAGGTGGTGGCATGGAGAAAGAAAGGCGTGGACAGGAACACGCAAAGATGAGGCCGGGAGAGCCCAGCAGTGTAGGGACAGGAGGTCAAGACGCAGTGACAAGGGCAAGGGCAGGGAGGCTGAAGGAAGAGGCCCGCCTCTCCCAGAAGGAATGGGACAAGCCTGCCAGGGCCAGGCAGACACGCTGGAACCCGCCAGGACATCTGGGTCTCAGACCCCAAACCCCACCGCCAGAGGAGGCCAGACACCCAGTGACGCCCCCACCCAGTGAGGAGCAGAACTGGCCCGCCCACCCCACCCAGCACTGGGTGCCGCTCCTCCCAGCCGGGGCAGCGCCTCACCGAGGACGTCCTTCCTGTGCAGAAAGGAGACCTTGCGCATGACAGCCATCCTTGTCTTCTCCAGCCCATCCTTGGTCCCGCTCTTGGCAGCCTTCATGAGCTGGGTCATCTGAGCAAAGGCAGAGGGGCCCATCAGGGAAGCCACCCAGGGAGCGCCTGGGACGCAGCCACGGAGGCCACCCGCCGCCCCCAGCCTCGGCCTGGGCCGCAGACATTGGAACCCCAGCCCCTTCCTTCTCAGGCTGGTGAGCAAAGGCCAGGGGCGATAATGGGGGTGGGAAGGGGCGTCCCCCCAGTGTCTCCTGTGGGAACCCTCTTTATGGGCAAGGGGAGGCCCTGACCAATTTTTTTCCCTTTGGAGGAAACCGCATGAACAGGTGTCAAATCAAGGAGATGATGTGACACGCTGGGGGGTGGAGGCTGAAGGCCTGCAGGCTGGGCCACTCTGCCATTCCCAGCGACAGGATGCTGGACAAGTCACTAAACCTCACGGAGCCTCAGTTTCCTCGGCCAAATACCCACCACCGCCAGAGTCTGTGAGCACCAGACAGACCAGGTCTGGGAGAACACTGAGCAGCAAAGCATGCCATACGTATGCTGGACGTGACCTACAGGCGGCCGAAAGGAGGTGCGTACACACCCCATCCCGCCCAACCCTAGTGAGGAGCCCCGTCCCTCTACTCTCCGCTGTCCCAGAATGGCCGGGTTTCTCAGAGTCTCTGCCTAGGAAGAGGGGGAAAGGCTGAACTGCCAAAGAGCAAGATGCAGTTTCCCTCGGCGGGAGGGACTGTGGGCACGGGACAGCAAATCAGGCAGAGCACGAGGCTCGGGAAGGATAAGTGCCTGGGGGGGGGCACTGGAAGCCCAGGCCTGAGGGGGGCTGCTGTCCCGAGTCGCTCTGTTGTCCCCCAGCCCCAGCCCCCTTTCCAACACACAGCGGCCCATGCCAATAGAAGTTTCTACAATGAGGGAGAAGCTCTGTCTGCACTGTCCAATATGGGACCATGGGCCACACATGGCTATTGAGTGCATGAAACATGCTGGGGCGACATAGGACACAAATTCCTAATGGTATTTCATTTTAATGAAGGTCAATTTCAACAGCCACATGGCATTCATGGTGGACAGCACAGTTCTGGGAAGACCTTTTGCTTCCTAAAAACTCCCTGCTGAAGGCCGGAGCGCTAATCTGGGAGGGGTTGGTCCTCTGTCCTCCTCTGTCCTTACCATCCCCTCCACTTATCCCAAGCTCCCCCGGTTCAAGGGTCCAAGTGCTTCCCAGGGGTCTGGGCAAGCCAGGCTTGCTGAAAAGCCAGCAGGTGCTATGCGTGGAAAGCAGGGTGGTGGCTTTTCAGGAACAAGGCTGACTTTCTGGAAGCAATGGCAGCAGAAAAAGGAAGGAAGTCCCAGCCCCTCCTGCCTCTGTCTGGTGCAATTCTAGAGCAGCAGCGCTTGGCCTGTCCTGGGGTCGTGGTCACAGATGCCTGAGGGGACAGACGTCAGCCCCAGAAACTGCACACAGATGCTCACCCTCTCTAGGAGACATCCTCCCTTGGGGGTCACCCCCCAGAGATCGAAACCTTCTGTTCCAGGGCCCAACTCCTGTCCCAGCAGAAAGTCATCCACAGGGCCAGGCACCGTTGCCCATGCTCATCATCCCAGCATTTTGGGAGGCAGAGGCGAAAGGACTGCCCAAGCCCAGGGGTTTGAGACCAGCCTGGGGCAACACAGTGAGACCTCATATCTACAATAAGTCAAAAACTTAGCCGGGTATGGTGGTGTGCACCTGTGGTTCCAGCTACTTGGAAGACTGAGGCAGAAGGATCACCTGAGCCCGGGAGGTCAAGGCTGCAATGGCCGTGAAGAGTGAGACTCTGGCTCCAAAAATAAAAAAAGAAAGCCATCCACGGGACTGTCCTATGAACCCCCAAAAGTGGTCCTTTGGGGTAAGCATCTGAGGCCCTTCTCTTGGGCAAAAAAAGAATTTTCCTGGGCAAAATAAGAGCAACAGGCAAACACCCCAGAAGGTGTCCCTGAGCCAACCTGTCATACCCACCCCCTCCCACGGTGTGGGCTGTGCCTGGGGAAGAGTCCTACTCTCAGGCCTGCTTGCCACTGGCCCCTGCTCCTTTCTGAGCCTCGATTTCCTGAGAGGTTAACCCCACGCTCACCCTGGGTCTCGGGCCTCTCCAACAGTGACTGGGAAAGACCCTGGCAAACTGTGAAGCGTCTGTTCTCTTCCTCCTCCTGGGAGGCCTCAGGTGCCAATAAAGTAGGCAAAGCCAGAGGATGAAGAATGCTCGGGCTCTGGCCCAGGTTGGAACCCAGCTCTGTCACTGACCACTGGAGCGACCACCAGCCAGGTGCCTGACCCAGCTCACACTCAATGATGCCGAAAGACTGTCTTGGCCCCAGGGCGCCATGGGGCCAGGACAGTCAGGCGTGTTGGTAACAACGGACACTGTCTACTGAGCTCTTAGACACACACAGCAGCAAGCACCCAGCAGACCTGATCGCTGATTCTCACTTCCGCCCTGGAGGCCAGTACTATCAATGGCCCCATTTCACAGGCAAGGACACTGAGGCTCAGAGAAGCCAAGGGGCCTGCCCAAGATCACCTGTGAATAACTGATGAACTGGAATTTGAACTCAGGCCCACAGGCCTCTGAAGCACATGCTCTTTAGCCATGAAACACAGTAGGTGTTCAACTAATGGACGCTACTGTTGTCAATATCGTCAGTCTCCAAAAGGCTGGGCCCAGTTGGAGAAGACTGTGCTGAGATTCTTCCAGACTTCTTCATCCTGGATCCCTGAACACTGTGGAGGGGTAGGAACTTCCAATGTCACCAACACCCGCAGTTTTCAAAGTGTAGCTCAAACCCACCCACCATGGTTATTAAATATGCAGATTTCTTAATCATGCCTCAGACCTACCAGATCAGCGTCCCCAGGGGTGGGGCCCAGGAATCTGCCTTTTTTTTTTTTTTTTTTGAGTTCAAGTTTCACTCTGTCACCCAGGCTGGAGTGCTGTGGCATGAGCACAGCTCACCACAGCCTCCAACTCCTGGGCTCAGGTGTGATCCTTCCGCCTTAGCCTCCTGAGTCGTTGGAACTATAGCACCACGCCCAGCTAATTTCTTTTATTTTTTATTTTTTGCAGAGACGAGATCTCATTATGCTGCCCAGGCTGGTCTCAAACTCCTGGGCTCGAGTGATCCTTCCATCTCAGCCTCCCAAAGTGCTGGAATTGCAGGCGTGAGCCACCACGCTCAGCCAGGAATCTGAGTTTTTAACAAAGCATCCCAGGTGATTCTGAGAGCCGCCAGTTTAAAAACCCACCTGGGAATTCTTGTGGCCCAAGGGGGTTTCGCTTGTGTTGGGGAGGAAGGCGCAGGCAGAGCATGGCAGGGAGCAGTGGCTGAAGGCAGGCGCCAGCCCCAGCGCCAGTGTGAGGATGGCCCGCAGCCAGGTGTGGGGCAGCACCTGGGCGGGGACAGGCGTGGCAGGCTCCGCGGGCCGGGGCAGTGGGCGGCCCCCGGAGGTGGCTGCAGCTGGACGCGGCCGTCCAGGGCACGGGAGGGACAGACAATACCTTACAATCGCACTTGTGCTTCAGATCCTGCATGTCTCTCCCCCCAACTCTCAAAGCCAAGATGTCTCTCTTAGTCCTGGCGTATCTCTCCTTTAGCCTAGTCAGGTCTGGAGAAAGCTGGAGCCCCCAAGCGGCCAGGCAGAAGGAGAGCAGGTGAGAGGAGCAGGCGGGACAGGGAGGAGACAAAACACAGACAACAGACAGGAGACTCAGGTGAAGTGGCGATGGGCACCCAGGCAGCAGGCTGGCCAGGTCCTGCCTGGAGTCTGCTCCAGCCGGGTCCAGCCCGACACGCCCGGCAGCAGGGGCTGGGTCTCTGCCGCAGGGCACCCCGGCTGCTGGGAAGGAGAGGCGGGAGGGGAGTAAGCCCAGGCCCCGCCTCTTTGGGGAAGGGGAGGAATGCTCTGAGGTTAGGACTGTGTCTTCCCCCAGCCCTGGGGCCCGGCAAGGGGCTTGTAACATAGGAGGTTCTCAGGAAGTCTGCAAGATGGATGGATGGCAGGTGGATGGATGGAGAGTGGGGTGGAGGGGGAAGGGGAAAAACAGACACGTGGATAAGTGGGCAGATGCACAGAAAGATGGATGGACGGGCAGAGGCATGGCTGGGCAGATGGATAGACTGCAGACAGACAGGTGGATGGGTGGATGGACAGGCTCAGATGGATGGTTGGATCGATGGCTGGATGAATGAATTGATGGGTGGGTGGATGGGATGGGTGGATGGACAGATGAATGGATGGATGGCTGGGTAGATGGGAGGGTGGATGGCTGGGACGGATGGATGGACGGATGGCTGAATGGATGGATGGAGGGACAGAAGGGTGGGTGGATGGGTGGGTAGATGGGAGGGTGGGTGGATGTGTGGGTGGGTGGGTGGATGGATGGATGGACAGATGAACAGATGGGTGAGCAAGTGGGTAAGTTTGGGTAACTGTATAGCTGGGCAAATGCATAGATGGATGGACAAAGAGGCAGTCAGATGAAGGAGCAAAAGAGTGGAAGGACAGGTGAATGGGAGTAGTACTGTACTAGTAACAAGTTCTCCGGGAAAAGCAGTGCTGCTTTGTAGCACTTCCATGGGATGAATACTCCCACCCTACCAAAGTGATATCACTGAATGTGCATTTGTAGAGATGCACCATTGGTTCTTGAGTTCTTGTGAGCTAGCACTGGCTGCTCTAGCTCGCCACTGGAGGAGGGGGTAAATGAGCAGAGGGAGGAATGGGTGAAGGGAAGAAGAAAAGGGGAGCAACTGAATGGAAAGATGGATGATGGGCTTACAGACTGTCTTAGAGGATGGAAGGAAGGAAGGAAGGAAGGACAGATATATAGTCAAATGCATGAATGTATGAGCAACAGTGATATTTGGTCAAGCACACAGAAGACCGAGACAGGTGCTGCTTCTAGAGAAGTAGACAGGTAGAAGGACCAAGAGCGTGAGCTCTGGAGGCAGGTAGATCTACATTCTAATCATGGCTCCTGCTTGCTAGCTAGAAAAATCTCTTTGACTTCTTTGAATTGCAGTTTCCTCACTGGTAAAGTACTCTTAATGGTGACTGCAAGGATTTTTGAGAAAATTAAATGGGACATGCAAAGCCCAGAGCTTAGTAAGTACTCAAAAAATGGAAGCCATTATTATTGCATCCTTTCAATTACAAGTGCTCAGTATTTGTTGGATGGATAGATGGATGGATGGATGGATGGATGGATGGATGGATGGATGGATGGATGGATGGACGGACTGATAGACAGATGAGGTATTTTCATCCATATGTGATGTTGAGTTCTGATTCTATCAACTTACTGGCTGTGTGATGCTAGCCACACCACTGAACCTCTCTGAGCTTCACATAGGTTCTCTGATCCAAAAAATGAGAACCCTAATGACAAGATTATCGACCACTCTAGGGTACTGGGGAAATTAAATGATACTGCATCATAAATGGTAGCACACTAGGCAAATGTCCACTATCATTATGCAAAGAAGTATGAGAACAGGGGTCCTTTGAGAGTTATTCAGAACTCCCTGTGGAGTTTGGGTTTTGACCTGAGTCCTGTTCATCTAGAAAACAGCCTGACACAATAAGCCCATAAAGTCCCTGGGCCTTACAGCATTCCGTCTCTCTCAGGATCAGAAGAACTAGGAGATGTCAGGGTCAGAGACCGCTTGCTGAATGGCCAGATCAGAGCAGGGACTGGATGGGACTGGGCCAATACCAGCGCCAGCATTTCTGTAACGAGCCCTTGAGTTCTGGGCAGTCCCCCGGCCAGCTAGATCACAGACCTTGATTATGAAGAGGCCACCACCAGAGAGCAGAAGAGTTCAATGAGGCCCCACCCACAACTGGAAACACCCTCCAGCTGACCATGGGCCACCACCAGCAGGATCACCTATTAACATAACTAACAGATGAGGTGACGGCTTCCATTCCATTTGGGCCCGGTACTTCTAAGGAGGCCTCTCTGCAGATCCTTTGGCAAGACTTCCTTTGGCAAGAATCCACCTGCCTAGGGCTGGCGGCTCCGACATCTGAAGGAGGGGCTCCATCCGTTCTCTTGCAGCTGGGCAGGTGCCAGGCCCACGGTCAGACTCCAAGGACAGGACAAGACGTGTCCCCAGACGGCTGCCCCGTGACCCACAGCACAGACAACACACAGCCAAGCAGGGCAGCCCCAAAGCATGCAGCTGCAGCAGAGCTGGCAGGTGAGTAGTGCACCCTGAGCAGCTCAGGGGAGTGCAGCATGGCAGGCAGGGCTCAGCAGTGTCTCTGGGCAGCAGTGGGTCCCAGAGGAATCATCCCTCCACACCTTCCAGCTCCCTGGAGCCTGCTAGGCAGGACGCAGACAGGCCTTGGCCATGGCCAGAGAAAAAGTCCCCACGGTTAGAAATTCCAAGAACCGTGCCCACATAGTTCGTCTACTGAGGAAAGGTCCAAAGCCCCCAGCCTGAGGGTGTGAGGTACACAAGTTCACAGGCAGCCCCCAGAGATCCCACTCTAGAGCAAGGCTCAACACTTCTCAGAATGCTCTGGGCCCCTTGTACCCCTGGGGGCAGAGAGTTGGTGAAAAGGCAGATGGCTGGGTCCCACTCAAACTCTGAGTCCGAGTCCCTGGGAGCAAGGCCTTGGCATGATTCTGACGCTCGCGTGAGGCCACGGACCACCGCTGGAGAGCCTGAATCTGGCATCTCCATTCTCCTTCCCTCTGAGAGATGCCCAGGGTTCCCTCCCAATCCCCAGCAAGAAGGCAGGGGCCCAGGAAAGGAACCATGGAAGAGGAGAAGGGACGCCAGGGGCTGAGCCTCAGAGGCTGGGATGGGACTCCAGGGTCCTATCTGGTCACATCACCCAGAGCAGGGCTGAGAGGCATGGGTCCTGCCCATATGGGGGCTTGGGGACTCCCTAACCGAAGTCCCCTTCCCTAAGGCAGTGCGTGCTGCCCCTTCTCGCCTCACAGGGCAGCAATGTGCAGGCACTGGCTTGTGTTTACGTGCATTTTTGTCTCCATTTTTGACAAATGATCCCCATCTGCTGTCTCCCCCTAGACCATAAAGGTTCGCTGAGGCCAGGTCGGGGCCTCCTGTTCCCTTCCTGCCCACGAGTGAACGTACGGACAGACACACAGAGGTGCTGCAAAGGCCTCCCGGGCACAGCCATTTCCCAGCCCTGCTCTGGGGGTCCGTCTTAAAGAAGGCCGGGCCTCGGAGACACCAGCACAGCCCCCAGCTTGCTCAGGACCTGGGGGGCCCATCATGGCTTGGGGAAAAGCTGCCTGAAGAGACTCTCAGAGTGTGGATACTCTGGCCAGCACGCTTCTCCCACAGAGGATCCCCCAAACTCAGAAAAGGGCAGGAGGCACTGGGAAAGACCTGGAAGCCTGTCTGGTAAAGCCTGAGCTGGACCCGTAGTCCCAGCCCCGAGGGGCCCCCTCCTGTCCCTGCCCTGCCTGCACAGGGCTGGCCACAGGTGACACTCTCCTGCCTGCCTGCATCTTTTGAAAAGGAGCCTGACTGGACCCTCTCCCGCACCCCTCGAGCATGGCATGTAGAAAGCTGCTCCCGTGAAATCACGCATCACAGCGTGGACAGGTCTTCCTCTGGTGGCTTCCACAGAACCATTTGGGAGGAGAGAGGACATCACAGGAAGGAGGCTCCGTCAGGCTTAGCCTCCCCTCAGCCTCAGGAGCTCCCTCCAGGAAACAGGCAAGGAGGAACTCCAGAAGCCCAGATGCGTGTGGCACCGTGCGAAGCCTGGCAAGTCACCTTCCTGGCAGTGCTGACCTAGCCACAGCAGCCCGCACCATCCTCCTGCCCAGGGCAGAGGGGACTGTGGGGCTGAGAACTGACCTGAACACCTGACCCCTGGGGCAGGGAGGTCAAGTGCATTTGATCCAAGTGCCAACTCCACTCGGCTGGTCGGGCCGCCCAGAGCACTGTGTCGGGAGGATTCTGAAGCCAGGCCTGAGTCCATAAGCGTATTGACCATTGACGGGGTCTGCCGTGGCCGTGGGGTGGGGAAGTGCCTACACCAGGTACTAACCACGCCCACCCCAGGTTCTGGACTCTCCATGGCCAGCAGCTACGCCTGGAGTCACCTCCTGTTTCTGAATGACCTGCTCCTCTCTCACCACACACCCTTGAGACCTGGATGCGAGTCCCAGGCCTGGCCCTCCCCACCCGGCTCTCCCCTCCCTGAAGGGATCTCGGCGCCCCGACCCCCCCGGTCCCCTCACCTTGGGCTGGAAGGACACTCGGTGCTTGGCGGGCTCCACTTCCGGCTTGGCCTCCTCCCCCGAGTCCTCGCTGTAGCTCTCAAACTCGCTGGAGCTCCAGCCTAGGTCCTCGGCCTCGCGAGGCGCCCCTGCCCGGGGCACATCCTCGTACAGCAGGTTCCTCTCCGCCCCTGCGGCCAAGGGACAATGTGACCAGGGTCCTGAGGCCAAGCCTGGAGACTTCTGGCCTGACAGCCCTTTTCTGAACCCAGGTGGGGCAAGGAGAGGTGGGGGAGGGTGCCAGGGCCCTGGGGCTCCAGCTCGGCCTCCTCAACAGGTAAGCAGAGGCAGTGATAATTCACTGCCCACCACGCAGGGTGAGGAGGCATGAGAGAAGAGGAAAGCAAAGGAATGCGTCAGACGTGACGCTCGCCAGCCCCTCCCTGGGGTCTGAGCACTTGCTCCGGGCCACCTCGGCAAGTTTTACTGGAAAAGAGAAGGCTCGGGGTCAAGGTTCGGGCCCTCAGCATTCTCGGGGATAAGACGGAGACTGCTGGAGCATGTGAGATGGCACGCACACGATGCAGCTGACACAGCGGCTCAGGGCAGGCCCTCTGGAAATGTCCTTCCCTTCCTCAGCCCCTCAGCCCAAATCTGAGTTCCCATGTGGGTCCAGAATTGACCAGTAGGGGGCGCACGAGGCCCAGAGTCCAGGAGTATTCCTTTTCTTCCAAAGCCCCAGGGAAATGCTTTGCGCTGAAAACTTAGGGACAAGGAGCCTCGATTCCCCTGGTCTGGGGACTGAAAACCTGGGGACAGAGAGCCCAGTGTCCCCACAGGGCCAGGGGACTCCTGGGGCCCTTTCAAGAGGGGTGTGAGGCCGGCATGGCTTGAAGGCTGAGGTGGGAAAACCACTGCCCCGAGGCCAGATCTTGGGCCCCAGCCCCAGCAGGTGCTGGAAGCTCCCTGGAAGCTCCCAGCAAGCCCGTTGCCCCTGGGGCCTTGTCTGCTGCTGGGGGAACTGCAGAGCTCACAAAGAAGGGTCAGACTCCAGAAAGGGCATGAAGTGAAAATGCTTTTGTCAACATGAAGAATCACAGCGCTGGGAAGGAGCTGTTCCCAAAACCTGCTCCGAATGACTGTGCCAAAGAACTGGGGCTTTCATTGTCAGAGCCCCCTCCGTACTACGGGATCATAGTAAGCTGATGGTTAAGTAAATAAGATCCAGCTGAGAAGCTCTTAACAAAAAGTCTGGCTCAGGGTCCCTCTCGACCGAGAGCTGTAGTCCTCGCCCATGGCTGCTCAGGGTGGGCTCGGTGTCATCCCACGGACCCAGAGCTCCCAGCTCCATCCCCTAGGAAGGGGGGGGCAGGGAGATTGGTAGCCAGAGAACAAAGCAGATCGCTGAGGCTTGGCGGGGGACGTCCCAGGACCAGGAGGGAACATGAGGTTATTTTTAAGTAAAAGATAATGGTGACTAATGTCCCCAGGGACTGGAGCAGCTGTGACCTTTCAAGGGCTGGGCTGATTGTCCGGTTACTGCCATAAGGCCCCTCGACAAGGGACAAAAGAGTCAGAGCCCAGTACTCAGGTGGCCCTGAGGCGGCACTGCGGTGGCATGGTGGTTCTCACCTCCCTGGGGTTGAGCCACACACTGGCCCACCTCCATCCTGTGGGCGCCTGCTCCCAGCAGCCCTGTGTGCCCAGCAGGGTGCGAGAGATCACAGATGAGAGACTGGCCATGGTCAGACAGCCAGGGTCCACCCACCATCACACAGCCTTCTGCTGAGGACCCCTCATGTAGCAATATCCTCTCTAGGGGAGACAGAGTCACCAGGTTCCTATGCCTGTGGTGGAACCTGAGTGCCAACTCCTCAGCCTTCAGGGGCCTCCAGGGGGTCCCCTGACTTTCTCGCCCCCAAGCTTCATTCTCTCTCAAGAGCACAGCCCTTCTCTAAAACACTCACCACCTCCTGCTCGATGCCCTGCAGGCTTTACCTCATGGACTCCACCCCACAACCCTAGGGCGTAGGTGGCATCACCCCCATTTTATAGATGGGTCAACCAAGGTCCAGAGAGATTAAGCAGTTCTCTGTGTGACCCTCCCCAAAGGCCTATGACTTTTGAGTATTTTGGCTTTACATGAAGAAGCCAAGGCCCAAAGGCACAGAGACCTGTGCTCAGATCAGTGGCAGAGCCAGGATTTGAACCCAGGGCTGTGTGCCCACTGGAGCATACAGGCTGACCCTCAGCTGACAACCTCCTCTCCACCACCCACTGAGCCCACATAGGTCCCCACAGGCCACTGCTGGGCCCCCCAGCAGGTGGAACAATGATAGCCACAGCAGCCCAGCATGAGAGCACCAGCTGAGAGCCAGGCCCTGCATTAAGCCTCGTCTTACTGGATCCTCCAGAGTCCCTGTGGGTGGGGGTCCTGGGGGTGGGGATCCCGGGGGTGGGGGTCACAGTCCTCAATCTACAGGCTCTGAGGCTGGATGTGAACGCAGGCGACTTGCTCTTAACCTCCCCAAGGCCGGACAGCAGGAACATGCCATGGCGTCCCAGACCCTGGGGCAGTGAGGCCTGGGGCCAAGTAAGCCTCTGCTTGATTTGACTTAAGTGGGAAAACAGTTCGGCTGGGTTACACAGCGCCTGAGGCCCCTCAGCCACTCAACCCTCCCAGCCCTCCCTGGGTTCAGACAAGCTGCAAGCAGGAACGTGCGCTCGAAGCACATCCAGCCTGCTGAAGGAACAAGCGTATCACTGGTTCATCTGTCCCTGCTCTCCTGGGACAGGAGTCAAGAGCATGGCTCTAGGGCCTTCAGGCCTGCCATGATGCCTGTGTGTCTCTCCCATCGGACTGTGTGCTGCCCAAGGATGCCCCACCAGACAAAGAGCTCCTCAAAAGCGGGGGCTCGGTGGCTCAGCCTGTAATCCCGTGCCTTTGGGAGGCTGAGGTGAGTGGATTGCCTGAGCCTGCAAGTTCGAGACCCGCCTGGGCAACTTGGCGAGACCTCATCTCTACAATAAATCAAAATGAGCCAGGCGTGGTAGTGCGCGCCTGTAATTCCAGCTACTTGGACAGCTGAGGCGGAAGGATCGCCAGAGCCCAGCAGGTTGAGGCTGCAGTGGCCGGGAGTGGCCACTGCACTCCAGTCTGGATGACAGAGTAAGACTCCAACTCAAAAAAAAAAAAAAAAACCGAGGGCTGTGTTTTCCGCATTGGATGCAAAACCTTTAAAAACAGGCAGGATCGTGTAGTAGAAAAGACAGCGTTGTCTGTTCAAATCCTGGCAGTGTGATCTGGGGTTGGTGGCTTAATCTCTCTGATGTGAGTGGAACCATAAGCCTCGCACTATTGACCTCACGGGGTTGACTGGACAGTGGAATCAAATGTGCTTCATCTTTCATAAAATGCCACTCAAATCTTCCCAGGGTAGGGGACAGAGAACTGAGCTTGGAGTCAGAATGACCCACGTTCAAATCCCAGCCTCATCTCTACAGTCTGTAAAATGAAGACATTACACCCCAAAGTAAAGTTATGAAGCTAACTGTGTAATTCAAAACATGAAGAGGAGGTCAGGCATGGTGGCTCATGCCCGTAATCCCAGCATTTTGGGAGGCTGAGGCGAGAGGACTGCTTGAGCCCAAGAGTCAAGTTGCCCAGGCAACTTGGTGAAGCCTCGTCTCTACAATAAAATCAAAACACTAGCTGAGTGTGGTGGCACGCACCAGTAGTCCCAGCTACTCAGGAGGCTGAGGTGGAAGGATAGACTGAACCCACCCAGCAGGTCGAGGCTGCAGTGGCTGTGAGCATGACACTGCATTCCAGCCAGGGTGACAGATTGAGACTTGGACTCAAAAATAAAAAGAGTAGCTTTGCCTAATGGGTTCAAGCAAAGATGGCTCTTACTGTTAATTGTACTCAACCCTTCCTTCTCTCTCCCATGAGGGATCTCCAGCAGGACTTACCCCAGCTCCACCCCACACCCCTTCTGCAGTCAGTCTCACACCTGCCTATCCCACCTAGGTCCCCAACCCAGGCAGGGCACAGAGCTTTCTGAGGCTTTATCTGCTTTACCCATTGAATTTAACATTTATCGCCCTGGGAAGCCCGGACCACAGCCCCACTTTCCTGAGGGAGGAATCAAGGCTTGGAGATGTGAATGGCTGCCCAGGGGACCCAGGCTAGAGCAAAGCCCTGCCCTCCAGGCCCAAGCCCCACCCAGCCCAGCCTGGCCACGCCCTCGGCCGGCTCCAGACTCTGGGATGACTGCAGTGGTTTTTAAAGGGCTGGGTGAGGTCAGAAGGAAACAGGAGAAGACCCTCCCTGGGTCCTGCCCTCCCTCCCCACCCCCGAGAGAAGCCTGGCAGAGAGCGTACCGGGTTGATGGGCGTCTGGGCTCTCGCAGGGGACGTCGTCGTAAATCACATCTTCTTCCAGGGCGGGGAAGGTGAACCGGTCGACTGGGAGGGAAGAGGGGAGAGAGCACCAGCGTGGCTGCGGCACCCGGTGGAGGCGCTGCAGGCTGGCATGGGGACTACACCAGCTGGCGGCTCTCAGTGCCTCATCTCTTAGCCAGCCTAGCCCAGCCCAGCCCAGAGCCCCGCCAGTCGCTCTCAGGGGATGCCGGCTTCCCCACCCCCAGCCCCTCAGAGGCGGAGGCGCCCTCCTGGCCACCGCGCAGACCCCCACTGCCTCCCCATCACCCGTGAGCCTGGCCATCTGGCTGATGGGGCAGCTGTTCACAGCCCCTGCGGGCAGCATGATGCAGTTCTGCACCTGTGCCCCGGCCCCCAGCATCCTCAGTCCCCCAGGCCCTCGCATCTCGCCCCTCCCCCACTGAGTGGTGCTGGGATTTGGAAAACCAGCCCCCACCCAGAGGGAGCCTGTCCTCTCCCCACAGGCCTTCTGGGAAGATGTCATGGGACCCACTGCTCTCACTGTGAGGCTTCCTTAGGTCCTGGTCCCCCTAGGGCCCTGTAGAAGCTTCTGTGTGACCCTTCTTCCTTCTCCCACACCAATTCTGCCTCCAAAAGACCACGACAGCCTCCCCATGGGTCCACCCCAGCCTCCCCATGGGTCCACCCCACCCGCTTTGTCTACCCTTCCTCCGCCTCAGAGTGACAGAACTGAAAGGCAAATGAGGCTGCACCACTCCCCATGGCTCCCTATTGCCTTGGGCACCCTGAGCATGGCCTCTGAGGCCCTGGGGAGCTGAGATGGCAGTCTCACCTCTCCCCAGATCACTCTGTAATGATGTCCCACCAACAGAGCCCCTGCAGCTTCCTTGGGGCCAGGGGTCCCTTCGCCCTCAGGCCCTTGCACAAGCAGGTCCCGGGCCTGGGACCCCGGCCCCTCCCTCTCCGCCTGCAGGACTCATCAGGGCAACCACCAGCACAGGTGTCTGGTTCTGCTCACAGAGGGACCTGGTCTGGGTCCCCAGGACGCTCCCACTGGTCCAGCCATCCTGACTTGTGTGGGAGCTTTGTGAGTATCCAAGAGCAGACAAAAGGCTGAAGTGTCACTCGATCCTGGACCTCGGTTCTCGTGGGCAGTGGTCTGTACACTCAGGGCACCCACCAGGGTCCTGGCAGCTGCCAGTGAGGACAACCCCTTGGCTCGCGGAGCCCACATTAGCTCTCTTGGCCCAGGGGAGACCACGCGACTACCCTGGCGCTGCCTAGGGTGGGCAACGGGCACGGGGGCCACTTACTGCGACGGGAGCTCTTGCGCTTCCAGCTGGAGTGCCGGACCCCAGAGAAGGCTGCATCCCCATTGCTCACCACAGCCGGCACCCTGCGGGCGAGAGACGGCGCTGGAGGGCTGCCAGGAAGAGGACGGCCGGGAAGCCTCTGGAAGCCCCTCACCCGGTTGGCAGGGCACAGTGGGCAGGGGCAGGTTGAGGGCCAAGCCGCCAGGGAGGCCCGCGGTGGGACTGGCCTCAGACAAGCCCCTTCTCCTCTCAGTGTCCTCATCCTTAGAAGGCACTAGGAGGCCCAGCCAGCTCCTTCACAAGAGCACAAAGATCAAGCATGTTCAGTGACAAGGGTCCAGCACTCCACACAAGGGCTGTCCCTCCACAGTGCAGACCTAGTGGGAATCTCCACCTCCCCTCACACACAGCCAGGGGAGGGCTGGGGGATCCCTGTCTTTCGCAAGAAGCGTGGACTTGCAATGCTTCAGAAGATTAGAGCTTGGCCCCCCCCCAACACACACACACGTGGGGACAGGCTGGACCCAGTGACTCAGTCCCAGAGTACAGATATGAAAACAGGAAACAGCAGAGAAACCCACCAGACGGCCCTCACCAAGAGGTCAGGGTGAGCTCTCCAGAGATGCCACACGGATGCCACATGCCCCAACACAATGTCATGAGATAGGCACCTCATCTCCAGGGTACTCTTACCCACAACCCCCATCTAATCCCATCTCCAGGGTACTCTTACCCACAACCCCCATCTAATCCCATCTCCAGGGTACTCTTACCCACAACCCCCATCTAATCCTATCTCCAGGGTATTCTTACCCATAACCCCATCTAATCATGGGCAAACACCAGACAAACCCAGAGTGGGGGACACTGTGCAAAGTCCCTGGCCCTTAGAGCTCAACACTCTCACGGTCATGGGAACCACGCAGAGACCGAGGAACTGTCACAGGCCAGGGGGAGGGGGGGTGATGGAGACACAACGATGAAGGGCAATGTGGGGCCCTGGATCGGATTCTGGAACAGGAAATGAATGTAGCAAGAAACGTGAAACCCACAGCGTCTCTATACATTTTATAATGTATAGAGAATACATCTAAGGTTATTACAACATGGACTTTTTTTTTACGTCCAGGTTCCAAAATAAAATAAAGATCACCTACGCCAACTTAGAGGGCAGAGGCCTTAGAGGGCAGAGGCCTTAGACTGCCCGAGACAGTGGCCACCATTGTCAAGGAATCTACATGAATTTCCTGCCACCTGAGTCCTTAGAGGATAAGGAGGGGAGATGGAGACTAGAACTGACTAAGCACAGTGGCTCATACCTGTAATCCCAGCATTTTGGGGGGCTGAAGTGGAAGGATCATTTGAGCCCAGGAGTTCAAGATCAGCCTGGATGACATATCAAGACCTTGTCTCTACAAAAAATTAGCCAGGCGAGGTGTTATGTACCTATAGTACCAGCTACTCAGGAGGCTGAGGCAGGAGGATCGCCTGAGCCCAGGATGTCGAGGCTGTGGCGAGCCAGGATCATGCCACTGCACTCCAGCCTGGGAGACAGAGTGAGATATCAACTAAAAATAAGACGAGAATCATGTAGCAGAGGATGGCAGGGAGGAGGCTGGGAGGAGGGATGTGCCCTGCTGAGCACACCTGTGAGCCAGACCCATGGCCTCCCCTTTCCCACACACTAAGTGGTACATTCTGGCATCCTACCCACTGTGCAGGTGAGCAGAGGAACCCGCCCAAGACCACGCTGCCCAGGGTCTCTACGTAAGTAGTTGTGTCTTTGTGAGTCTCGGCTGCCTGGCTGCAAAGCTTGGCTCTGACACTGCCCTGCACTGCCTCTCAGGTGACAAGGAGAGACGAGGTCTCACTATGTAGCCCGGCCTGATCTCGAACTCCTGGATTCAAGCAATCCTCTCGCCTCAGCCTCCCAAAGTGCTAAGATTCCACTGCTGGCAGGGACTCTTCCTTCCCGTGCTGTCCAGGAGGGTGGCCGGCAGCCCCATGGACTATGGAGCACTTGACATATGGCTAGTGTGACTAATAAACTTGATTTCTAATTTCCTTTAACTCTAAGTCGTTTCGTTTTCTTTTTGCTTTTTTTTTTTTTTTTGAATTGGAGTCTCACTCTGTCGCCCAGGTTGGAGTGCAGTGGCACACTCACAACCACCACACTCTCGACCTGCTGGGCTCAGGCGATCCTTCTGCCTCAGCCTTCTAAGTAGCTGGAACTACAGGCATGCACCACCATGCCTGGGTAATTTTTTGATATATTGTTGGAGACGAGATCTTGCCAAGTTGCCCAGGCTGGTCTCGAACCCCTGAGTTCAGGCAATCCTTTCACCTCTGCCTCCCAAAGTGCTGGGATTACAGGCGTGAGCCATCATGCTCAGCAAGTTGTTTAATTTTCAACAGTCACATGTGGCTAGCGGCCACCATACTGGGCAGCAGGTCTAAGTCATCTGCACATTGGAGGAACAAGTGTCAGCTCACATTTCACAGCTAGATGTCAGCAGTGCCACCTGGGTGAGGAAGGCAGCACGTGGGCCGTCCTGGTCCTGGGGTAATGCTTTCCACTGATAGGAAGTCAAGGTTGAGAGGGAGCAGGGTTGCTCTGGATCAGGAAGGGGCATTGGGCTGAAGGGGGCCGCCTGGGCCCAGATCGCTGATGGCTGCTTCCCTGTGTCACCACCTTCTCAGCACAGAAACATCTGCTGAGAATTGCTCAGACAGGCCAGGTGCGATGGCTCACACCTGGAATCAGCATTTTGGGAGGCTGAGGTGAAAGGATTGCTTAAATCCAGGAGTTCAAGATCAGCCCAGGCAACATAGCAAGACTCCATCTCTACAAAATATACCAAAAACTTAGCCAGGCATGATGGCGCACACCTGTAGTCCTAGCTACTCAGGAGGCTGAGATGGAAGGATCGCCTGAGTCCTGAAGGTCAAGGCTGCGATGAGCCGTAATCATGCCACTGTACTCCAGCCTGGGCGACAGAGTGACATTCCAACTAAAAAAAAAAAAGAATTGCTCAGATAGAACCAAACTGTTCCAGCTGGAACCAACGTGAGTTCAGAACCTGGCTTGATGACCTCCCAACCACAGTCCCTCCATGCCCTGACCCATAGCCATGACACTTGGTGACCTTCATGAAGCACCTGTTTGCTTCACTTTAGGTATATTTGCTCATTTAATTTCACACAGGAGCACTCAGGAGGTAGGTGCTGCTATTCTCTTCCTACAGATGGGGAAACTGAGGCTCACCAAGACTCAACTACTTGCCCAGAGTCACTCGGCTACTCAGTGGGAGTGGAGATTTTGACCTAAGTCCACCTGCAAAGCTTGTGTTCTTTCCACCAGGCCACTTGGAAGCCGAGAACTTGCATTTAAATATTCACCCACATCACAGACTTGCCGTGGCATGAGGTCACCTAAACTCTTGCCTGTTTAGCCACCATTTTTTTTTAAAGGAAGGAGAGCAAAGACCTCAGCACACAGAGGCACAGGCTCAAGTCTCATCAGCTATGGTCTGAATGTCTATGTTCCCGCAAAGTCCATGTGCTGAAAGCCTCACCCCCAAGGCGATGGCATTAGGAGGTGGGGCCTTTGGAAGGTGATGAGGTCATGGGAGCGGAGACTTCATGAGTGGGATGAGTGCCCTTACAAAAGAAGCCCTAGAGAGCCACCCTAGTCCTCCCACCATGGGAGGGCACAGCACAAAGGTGCCATCTGTGAACCAGGAAACAACCCTCGACAGACTCTAAACCTGCTGGTGCCTGGATCTTGGACTTCCCAGCCCCGAGAACTTTGAGAAATATCTTTCTGCTGTTTTTAAGCCACCTGGTCTTTGCTATAGTGGCCTGAATGGACTAACACCATCCAAGAATAATTGTAACACCCAGTCCAAGGCTGCAGTACAGTATAACCAAGAGAATACCTGACAAGACCCCATGTAGATTCTTCAGGTAGCACAGAGGTGGAGGCAGCCATCATCAGGTAAGGCCTGGCAGCTTTTGAAGGGATCTGGAAATGTGTTAGACATAGACGAGGGGCCAGGGAGGCTGAGGTGTGGACCTCCATGTTATACGTGGTCAGGGCACATGTTAGGACATAGAGAGCAGCCAGCCAGGGTATATTTGCAGCAGGCCAGTGAGCAGCAGAGCAGTGGTGTGAGCCGAGCTGGCCTGGTTGCAAGGTCTTGCTCTCAACGCTGGCTCTGCAGGCCCCTCAGATTAGAGCAGGTATTCCCCAGGCAGACGAGAGGGTTCCCGGGGAAGGGAGAAAGAGAGAGTCAGGAAGGGGGCACAGGAGCAATGGTAAGCATGCAAGGAGGGCATGGGCAGAAATGAGGCCGGGGTGCCTCCCAACAAGGCCTGCACCACTGGGAGCAGCCTCTCCCGGCCACTGTCTGAGGAAGTCACACCGGCCCTGCCTGGTTGCAAAGTCTAATCCTCCCTGTGAGCAAACACTCCTGGAGCCCTCCTCAAAGACTCCAGATAATGAAAGGGCCATAAAGAGCAACAAGAGGTCAATCATCTCACCCTTATCTGGGCTTCCGCACTCCTAGTGCCTCTCAGCTTGGACAGGAGAGCGAGGCAGTGGCTAGGGTTATACACTGGCGAGGCCTCCACCGCCCAAGTGCACAGAAAAGAAGCTGGACCCACAGAGAGGGATGCAAGAGGAGGAGCTCGTTGAGGAGGAGGTGGAGGCCGAGGCAGGGAGAAACAGAAGAACCTCTCCCAGCACCCCAACCAACAGCCTTCATGTCTACCAGTTGGAGTTCAAGCACAGCAGAAGACTGCCTGGCGGTGAGGGGTGAGGAACCCGTCCATGACAGCTCCATCCTGGCCACTCCACGTCTATGATGACCAATGCCCACCCCGGCCTATTTTAAAGACAAGCCCCACTCCAGAGAATGGCAGTGACCTTGCCCTCTCCAGTGGCTGGCAAAGGCCCCAGTTTTTCAGTGAATCTCTGCAGGGTCCCTTCCCAGAGGCTGCATAGTGTGGGTGGGCAGGGTGGAGACCCCCAAAACTGGAACAGTGGGAGGATTCCTGGCCGGCTGGGCCCACATTCTGAGAC